TGCCTACTCTACATGCATCATTCAGTATTTAGGATTCTTCTTTACTGCTCCTTATCAAGCCTCTATGCAGGATAAAATCATCACATCATTTCCTTAAGGGTGCTCCTGAGTTGCAAAATTTTAGTGCTTCATAGACGGAAATGAATTTATTTTTTGCAGTAGTGTGTGTGAGGTTGTGGAATCGTTGTCTCTGAATAGGTAAGGGAAGACTGGGGTACAGAATATAGCATCAAACGTTCTCACTGTTTGCAGGTACCACTGTGAGAGACCCGGGGTTTGATTTGTCAGAGTATTTAGCATTGCACAGCATTTGTTACGCTCAGTGATGTACTCTGGACTTTTGTCCACACTGCTTGGCAGAACTAGGGAAGAGGAAAGAGCATAACCTGCTCTCCACAGGCTTCAGGATGCCTGTAGCTCCGGTGCCTTATATCCACTAACCGAACCAAAGGACTGCCTGGCCTTGGGCATCTCTCATATCACCTCTGCCTTTGTGGCCTGCTTGGGCTGTGTGGTTTCTAATTCATGCTCAATATTGGCCATTCCCGTGCACTATCCCATGAGAATCCTGTTGAGCAATCAATGGCATTCTTTTTTTATATGAGATGCTCTCAGATTGCACAACATGTTTATTATAATGTATATAATGTGTAATTTGCCCTAGTCAAGCAATTAACTGTCTTAGTATAGAGTGCCTGCATGAAATATCAGCTGTATTATATAGAACTTTAGAATTATGTTTTCTCTAGTCTTGAAATCTACAATATTTCCTAAACAAGGCTTTTGAGCCCTATCTTTTTTTTAAACAATTCTTCAAATTGTCATACGCTTATTATAAAGAAAAAAACTTTTCCCCTGAGTTTCACAGCTTTTCAGTGATTTTGAGATATTTACATTTACAGCCCAGATCTTCCCTGTTTGAATTACTACAGTAAATCAACGGTAACAGGATGTGTAACATGAAAAACATCCTGCTATTGTTTCATGTTCTCTGCTAAAAATCCCAGCTTTTTCTGGACTCTTCTGTTCATTTCCCTGATCCTTTTGCTTCACTCCATCCTACTTCCTGCCATTTCATACCTATCTTGTGCCATCTGCTGTCCCAAGTCCACCAGTGACAACAGCAATGAGGAGACTCAGGATGTTCATGAAAAGATGAGGACTGACTTCCTAAATTAAGATATAATAGAATGCAATGATATCAGGTCTTTATCTTTCTTCTCTTTTATCTTTATCTCTTAAATCAAAGGTTGAGAGCAACCAAGGCAGCTAACTTGACTTCAAGTGCTCTTTATGCGTGGGTATAAGCAACAATGGGAAATATTTGTGAAGTGCTGGAGCATCTTCACTCTAGGTGCATTTGATCTGTCCTCCTTTAACAAACATATATCAACTCCAAGCACCCACTCTTTGCCTGTAATTGGGTGGCTGCTTCTTCGCAGCCTTCCTAGGCAAGCATGGTGTGAGCTGAAATTAGTAGGAGTAACATGAAATGTCTTTGTCCTGGCCTCGGTGATTAATTTAGGAAGGACATGTTATGTGCAGGGGTTGCTGTGGAGTATTGCATAAAGACATTTGCTATAATTGACAGAGTGACAATCAAGTTTGCTGGGGAGCCTGTGAGCTGCCTCTAACGCAAGGTGCATGTGGGGTGTTTTGCTGCCTTTAGGCCATACTATACAAAATAGAAGTGTTGGGAAGTCCCTCATTTACATGTCTGCAGAGGCAGGCATGCAGAGGCAAGTAGAAGCCGCATCCTGCTAGCAGACCAGCCTTCGTGTAGGTACCAGGGTGGTGCGTGGGCAACTGCCAGAAACTAGACTACCATTCCAGGCCACTCTCTTGGAGCTGTGAGAAAGGGTCGACAGTAACATACACCAACAAATTACCTCTCCACCGCTGAAAGAAGCAGCTATGGCTGAATTAGGTGAACCTGTCCCAGAGGAACTGACCTGTTACTCCCCTGAGGACCTGCTGACTTACGTAACTGCTGGGATTGGCAGCAGATATGGTGCCTGCTAGCACTCTGAACATCCAACATGAATATTAGCACTTGCACATACACTGGCTATATAACTGCAAGTTATTGGGATGTCTGTATCTCTATCTGAACTGTTCTTTGTAAGGTCTGTCCTCAGGGAACAAATACTGAACCTCAGATGTGGGGGCCAGAAAGTCTGTGCTAATCCGCTCAGAGAATTATTTCAAACTTTGCAAAACAATCGAGAATTTCTGAATGTGAGAAAATCGTCATCTGCTTGTAAATATTACACAGATAAAAACAGCCCAGAACATATTACATAACACAGGGGTTGCAAAATTCTCCCCAGCTTATGAGTGAGACTTTAGGAAGAATTTCTACATGGAAAGAGTAGTCAAGCGTTGGAACAGGCTGCCCAGGGAAGTGGTGGAGTCAGCGTTGCTGGCAGTGTTCAAGAAACATGTAGGTGAGGTGCTTAGGGGTATGGTTTAGCAGGCAGGGTGTTAAAGGGCTTAGGGTTGGACTCGATGATTTTGAAGGTCTTTTCCAACTATAAGGATTCTATGATTCTATGACTTGCCAGAAAGGTGCTTCGCGTGTCAGAGCAGGCTAAGGGCACAGCAGTGGTGGAGTCAGCGTTGCTGGCAGTGTTCAAGAAACATGTAGGTGAGGTGCTTAGGGGTATGGTTTAGCAGGCAGGGTGTTAAAGGGCTTAGGGTTGGACTCGATGATTTTGAAGGTCTTTTCCAACTATAAGGATTCTATGATTCTATGACTTGCCAGAAAGGTGCTTCGCGTGTCAGAGCAGGCTAAGGGCACAGCCAGCGCACGCGTGACCTGCGGGGAGGCGGAGGCCGGGCCTCGCCTCCAGCCAGCGCGGCAGCAGGG